GAACCATTAACAAATAACTAATAAATTTTGGAACCGAACCGGGTCATAGCGGTTCGGTCCGGTTCGGTTCTCCGGTTCTTGGTTCCAAAGTCCTAGCCCTAGTGGCGTGTCACGGTGATCGATGTCACTAGAGTATGGGCTGGGGTAATTTAGTGAATTTAATGTTCATTAGTCACATTTTTGAAAATTTAAAAATATGGTCATTTTTTTGTCCAGCATCAATTTTTTAGTAATATTGAATTAAAAAACCCCATTTATAATCCATAGATGTATGTCACTTGAAATTGTCATTGAATAGCATGTTTCTAATTAAATTAATAATTCGAATAAGCTAAACAGAATAGACCACTCATACATCTGACCTGGCCGACACAATATAGGCCCCGACCCACCTTAAATTAAAAAAAAATGTCTATATTTTTAATGTAAAAAGTTCATGTAAACTAAAAAATAGAGATATTTTCCAGTATCGGCCCATTTTGGTTCAGTGCCCTGACTTCGCTCGTATGGATGTGTTGTGTCAGCTCTTCAAAGTGAAACTAAAAAATAGAGATATTTTCCAATTTTCTAAAAAAATGGAAAACTGGAAAAAGAAAAACAGAAAACGTGTTTACCAAAGAAAATTGCTGGAAAACTAGAGAAAGGAAAACAGAGAAATGTGTTTACCAAATCGTTTTCCAAAACCAAAAAAATGAGATAAGTCTCTGTTTTCCTTAATGAATTGGAGAGGTGACGTTTACTAGTTTTCTAAATTTTGAAAACGCAGATGCTACAGTGCCGCTGCAATGAATACTTACGCCTAGTGGTGGGTACGGTCCCGCTCTGGTGTCAGTTCTAGTCCACTCCGGCTAACGATCCGACGGTCCCTATCTGGTCTGGTCAATGACTCGGCGGTCCGGACTGATATTGACCCGACGGTCCCTGTCTGTCTGGTCGACGGTCGAGCAATCCCGGTCCGGTCCGGTCGATGACCCGACGTTCCTTATCCGGTCCGGTCCACAACCCGGTGACCCCGGTCCGATATGGTTTGGTCAATGACTCGGTAGCCCCCGTCTGGTCTGGTCAACTACTCGTCGGTCTTCGTCATGTCCGGTCAACCACCCAGCAGTCCCGTCTTATCCGATCAACGACCCAATGATCTCTATCTTGTCCAGCCAATGATCCGACGATCGGTGTTCGGTCTGATCGAAAACAGGGCAATCCCGAGTCAGTCCCATCAATGAACTGAGTCAACCGACGGTCCCTGTTCGCTTTGGTCAATGACCCGGTGGTTCGATCTCGGTTTTTTGAAATCATTTTTAAAGTAAAGAGTTTTGAAAGAGTCGTTGAATTGTCAACCAATAGGGAAATTAGAAAAGAATTCGTCAAACTAACCGTTGAGATTGATCGGGACCAACTAGTTTTGATCCCGACTTTCCTATACGTGGGACCTGGTACTTTACTTGGGTTGTACTTGTTAGAAAATTGATGTAACGTACCTCGAAAGTACAGCAACGGAAGTTTAAAATTTTCCCAACCAGATCTTCCCTGATTATGACAAAACAACGAATATAACAATAATAACAGATCTGAGTTAGAACTTACAGATCTTCCAGCCCAGCGGTGATAATCCTTGACCTTAGGTATCCACGTGATTTCTCCTTTCTGAAAGAATGGTTAGATCTCCCATAGAGAAAGACTAGGAAATCTCTTCGCAGGGAAATAAATCGGTAATACTGAATCTAAAAACTAGTCCACTAATTATGAAGGAAGAAGATGTATTTATAATAGTTCTAAACTAGTTTCCCAATCACAATGAAAGTCTTTCTCATTAATGAGTTGTAGTCCTCATAGGATCAACACACATTAATTAATTAAATAAAGATATAATAATAAATAATAATAATAATTAAATAATACGGACATATGTTATGGAGAATAGGGGGCTGCTGCCACCCTTATTCTCATAACATATTTATTATTATTATTATTATTATTATTATTATTATTATTATTAGTATTATTATTATTATTATTATTATTATTATTATTATATTTATTTGTAATTTCTTGAATACATTTTAATTCCAAATTAAACTCAAGAAATTACTAACTTTATTTAATTATAAAGACATTTAATTAAGTAAAATAAATCTAATTTATTCTTCTTAATTAATTCTATCAAATAGAACTCTCCTTCAACTTTCTGAATTAAATATGTTAATCTAATTAATAATCAATTCAATTTCAGTATTATGAATTAAATATTATTTAATCTAATTAATAATATTTAATTCCTTCTAACAATTCATTCGGAAGGTATAATCACTTGTCGTGTGAAAGGGCCTTATCTATTAAGCACTAATCAAATTAAGGTCTTAGCAGAATCCCTAGACAATTTACCAGACAATCTTAATATATAAGGACGTTTGCGAGGACTATTCAAACTCCCTGTAATATAGAGCTCATAGTGATACGGTCCTTTCATTCAACGAGCATTCAACTAAGTCTAGAACATGATATTGTGTCTATTCTAATAACTTAGTCTCTGTCTCTCAATTTTCTAGATGATCCATAACGATCATATTCGATATCCAAAACGAATATATCTTTGCATTGGCCAATGACTTTATGATCCATCTAAATATGAGAAGTAGAATGTTCTCTCTTAATCTATTATGAGGAATGAATCCTTTCTTGGCTCAACTACTACTCCATGTGCTTCGTGATGCACCCAACACATGCCGTATCTACCCCGATTGGAGTGCAAGCGTTGGTTATGGTCAAAGTACATCACTCCGCACATGTAGTACGTATTGACCTCAAGTCGGAGGACTATTACACTACTCTATACGCCGATAATCCCATAGACACATGAATAGAACTTATCAAATGGTTTCTCGGTGGGTATGCCAATATTCTCTAAAATATCTATGTGACCATCATGAATTACAGGAACTCATAGTTGTGAGATCAACTATACTTTCTAAAAGTATGATGCAATCCACATACCAATCTTATCGCATATCATCAATATCCCATTCTTGATGATCATTGATTGGGGCTATTTTAGGACCTTATGTTATATCATATAAACTCTCACTTACTTATTGACAATATAAGTCCAAGGGAACACAATTATGAATAAGATATTGACAATCGAAATACTTAATCATCAATGTGTAATACCGTATATATCAAATATATAAAACTGAATGTGATCAAGTACATATATCTCTAAAAAGTGATTGTCGCTAGGACATATATACTAACAGGGTTGTACTAGGATCTCTTTCGAACAGGTACCATACTTTCAGTTGTCTGGTCGGTTACAGAACCGAGTGAAAAAGTTTGATGAATATGTTTTCAGATTTGAAAATGGAAAACTAAAAGTGAAAACAGAAAATTAGAGATAGAAAAACAGGAAAATGGAAACAGAAATTTTGAGAATGAAAAACAGAAATAGAATAACGGTACCGAAATGCCCCCATCTATATACCGTATCACCTAACCTTTCTACGGATTATTATTTTTTATTATTATTGAGCAATTTGAGGCTTTGAGCTCCGTAAAAAGATAGACCTACCCATTGGTTTTTTATTCGTACACTTACTTACCTAGTACTACTTGTAAGTTGTAACTACTAATTACTCCAAACACGTGAGCTGTAGTTGAGCAATGTATTACTTCGAATTAATATTATATTTTCATACCGCTCTTATTTTGAACTATCTGCCTTGTTAATTGTTACTCCCTCTGTCCCAGAAAATTCTTCCAACTTTCCTTTTTGGGACGTCCCAGAAAATTCTTCCAACTTCACCTTTTTGATTATTTGTGTGGCTCACGTTCATTTCACTTTTTTCTTACACAACTACAACCACACATTTCCACTTTATTCCCACTTTCTTAAACTCCGATCCAAGTCAAACTTGGAAGAATTTTCTGGGACGGAGGGAGTATTAAACAATATAGTTGAGCAAATAAATAAGCGGTGACAATTTGTTAAATAAATTAAAGTCGTATATCAACGTCATAAATTACAACTCAAAACTTTATAGTGCAATAAAATTAATAAAAAGTGCAACCTTCATACCATACTTCAAGATCATCGATCAGCGAAAAAATGGAGCCTAAGATCTCCGACCGTTGAATTGTAGATCGGATGATCGGGAAGAAGCAAGAAACACTACCTTACTCTAAAGTAAGGTAGAGGTTCCGGATCTGTACTTCAGGCTTAAATATTACGGAGTGATTTTTACTACATAGTACTAGTATTAGATAAGTATTAAATGTGGAAAAATGAGTTTCTTAGTTATATCTTCGAACACGTCTAATACAAATCATACTTTACAAATTCAAAACAAACCGCAGTATTACTTTTCTTAAAACCACATTCTTTTTCAAACATGTTAAAAAATGAACACTAAGTATTGTATTTTCAGAGCACTAGTATTGCCATCTTATTAAACGTAATGCCATAAAAGTGATTTTGTTTTCAAATCAGTGTTAAAATAAAAACATTAAGTATGGCCTTTTCAGATTTAAAATTCAATGCAAAAAGTAATCTAATTTTTAAAATAAATTAATTGAAATTATTAAATAAATAGATTCAGATCCAAAAATTATCATCATAGGCTTTTGGAGCCTTGGAGTTTCATATCCTGATATCCATAATACTTCGTAACATTTTTTTCTTTAGATTTTCATAAATAAACAAACAAATAATGGAAAACAAATAACAGTTCAAGAAAAGAAGAAAACAGAGGAAGACAATAGGGATGACAAGAGGAAGAGGAAAATACCATGATTTAGTCTTGAGTAATTTCTTTAGCTTTGTTAATTATGCCACATACAGTTCCAATTTTAATCTCTCTGCCTTCTTTTTCTATACTTGAATATGCAACAAATTTAAAACACGTTCATCACTATATTGTTGTCACATGTTTCACTCCCTTCAAGTTTCCACCGAAGTGAGCATGTTCATTATAAATACAAATAGAAATAATCAAACAATATCATAACCACTATAAACCACTATATATATCATGCTTAAGTTCTTTCCAATGAACCTAACCACAAGAAATTGAGAGCTTCTTTACTTCAACTCTGCACACACAAACAAGATGCCTAAGCCCACCAATTCAAAGCTTCAAATTGCCATGTTCCCATGGCTTGCTTATGGCCACATGATACCATTCCTCCAACTTGCCAATGAATTTGCTAAGAGAGGTCACACCATTTCCTTCTTACTCCCCAAGAAGACCCTCCAAAAATTAGCTAACAACAATCTTTACCCTCATCTTATAACCCTTCATCCCCTCACTCTCCCACCTGTCCCTGGCCTGCCCCCCGGTGCCGAAACCACGGCCGAAATAAAAGACTCTTTCATCCTCACGAAAGCCATGGACGGGACCAGGGACCAGGTCCGGGCGATACTCGAGAAGCAAAAACCCGACTTTGTTTTCTTCGACTTCGCTGATTGGGTGATGGACTTGGGCTCCGAGATCGGGTTCAAAACCATTTATTACAATGTGTTAAGTCCAACCATATCAGCACTTAAGCTAATCACCTCTACTTGTCATGATAAGCCCATTACAACGGCTTATATGATGGAGCCTCCGCCAGGGTACCCTACTTCCAAAGTCTTGTTCAAAGAGCACGAGGCCCGAAAACTGGCAAATTTCACAAATGCCTTTTGGGATAACACTCTGAGGTTGTTTGGCCGTATCGCCTCAGGAATGAAGAAATGTGATTTATTAGCAATGAAAACCGTGAAGGAATTGGAAGGGACTTACTGTGACTACTTTTCCACTCTATATAGAAAGCCCGTCCTCTATACCGGCCCGGTCCTGCCCGAACCCAAAACAGAGCCATTGGAAGCCAAATTCAATAACTGGCTCGAGAACTTCAAGCCTGGTTCTGTGATTTTCTGTGCGCTTGGGAGCGAATGGGTACTTGAGAAAGACCAATTTCAGGAACTCCTTTTGGGGTTAGAAGAAACGCAGCTGCCATTTCTTGTAGCCCTTAAGCCACCAAAAGGGACAAGCACAATAGAAGAGGGCTTGCCAGAGGGGTTTCAAGAAAGGGTCCAAAACAGAGGGATGGTTTGTGGTTGGGTCCCACAAGATCTGATTTTGGGGCACAAATCAGTTGGGTGCTTTGTGAATCACTGTGGGTATGGGTCAATGTGGGAGGGATTGATGAATGACTGTCAGTTAGTGTATGTGCCCAATTTCTTTGACCAATGTTTGAACACAAGGCTTATGGTTGAAGAGCTGGAAGTGGCTGTGGAGGTGGAGAGGGATGGAAATGGGGGGTTTTCAAAAGAGAGTGTTTGCAAGGCAGTTAAATCAGTGATGGATGCTGATAGTCAGATTGGTTGCTTGGTAAGGGAGAATCACATGAAGTGGAAGGAGGTCTTGAACAAGCCTGGGTTCTTCACTAACTATGTGGAAACTTTCATCCAACATTTGCAAGGATTATTATTAGTTGAGTAATATCATTGAGTTTATTATCTAAAATAAAATTTCCCAGATGAGTAATCCATTTTTATCTTCCCAGCCATTTTACTTAAGTATTTTTAAGTTTTTAAGTTTTAACGATGGCCCATGTCCTTATTTGCTCTGATATACTCCCTCCTTCCCTTATAACTTTGCCAACTTTCCTTTTTTGGTTGTCCCAAAAACTTTGCCACTTTCCATTTTAATCAATCAATTTGTGGCTCATGTTATTTCTCTCTCCTCTTCACAAATCTCTACCACACAATTTTTACTTTATTATTCTACGTGCCGGTCAAACATGGCAAACCTTTAAGGGACGGAGGGAGTATTACTTGCATTTATTTCATTCAAATAAGTCAAAGTTGCTTATTTTTATAGTTTTAATTGTTTTTTCTTGAATAAAAACTACCGTATGTCCATGGAAAGGTAAGAGATTAATGGGTCTATGAATACACAATTGAAATTTAAAATGCAAAAGTTCATAGTATCAAGGTACCAGCCAAACAAGAATAAGTTAAATTGTATTTGGAACAAAATATACTATTTCCGTTCTTCAAAGCTCTATGAACTTTCCTGATTTCCATAATGTTAGGTGATTAAATTTGTTTTTCTTCCCTCTTCACAACTTTCTGTGGTATAATTTTTATTGTTTTATTTTACTTGTATGTTTAATTTGATGAAGTTTTATGAGATAAAATGAGTATATACTTTGATCCTAGGCTACAAAAACAGAGCATTAAGCGCCAGAGAGGACTACCGCCAACATTAGTCTCCCACCGATCTCTGCTGTCTATTAACGAATGCATAAGGATATGCATCCTCACGGAATGAACGTAGATACATCTGCAGCATATTTTTGCTTGTATTAGTTTGTTAGGCAGACTTTGTTAGTTTGTTATACTCGTATCTTTGACTTTTCTATTCTTGGACTACATATAAACTCTCTGTACTTTATCTTTAAACAATAATGAGAAATTCTTATCTTCTTCTTCCCTCGTCCGAATACTGAAATGCTAATATGGTATTAGATGAAAATTCTCTATCCTTTCCGCATACTCCATTAACGATTAATTGAAGCTTCACCATGGTCAACACTCGTTCCAACTACGATAGCTCAGAATCCACTCTGGATCACCTGATAAACCCTTCTAATCCGCTTTTTCTGCATCCCAATGAAAATCCGACTTTGGTTCTTGTTTCAGTTCTTCTCAATGAGAAGAATTATCATTCATGGCGTCATAATATGCTGGCCATGCTCGAATCAAAGAATAAGGACAGATTTGTTGATGGATCTTTTCCTTCACCTGCAAAAACTGATCCCCTATACGAACCTTGGAGACGGTGTAATCGCAAAGTCATGGCTTGGCTTATGCGTGCAATGATTCCTTCAATTGCAGAATCTGTGATCTATTTTGACACCGCTGCAGCAATTTGGACAGATCTGAGTGAAAGATTTTCGCATGGCAACATGTTTCGCATTGCAGACCTCCATGACGAAATTCATCAAGTTCGTCAAGGTTCTTCTTCTGTTACTCAGTATTTCACCACATTACAGACATTATGGAAGGAATTGGAGCAATATAGAACTGTAATTAACGAATATAAACCTTATACAAGAGAATTAACGGACACAGTAATTATAGTAAAAACAAATAATGTTTAATAAATTTAAGAAATACTCCTTTATCCGGCGGAGATCAGTGGCTGCCATTTACCCTTAAGTTTAAGTGTTTAATCATCCTACATAATTGCACTACTTTGGAGAAAATCTTTTTCCCGCTCAAGCATCTTACGCACATCGACCACACGATCAAAAATTAGATCTACCGTTGTGATGACATCGACCACACGATCAAAAATTAGATCTACCGCTGTGATGAAAAGATCGTTCATTCCTTTTAGCCTCTCCTCCCTCACTGCAGACCATTCGAGTTTACTCCATTCCTAGATGGATGTAAACGGCCTCAACAGCACTCCTTCTCTCATCGGAATCCATCAAAAGCTCAGAAGCAATTCATCTTCTTTGCTCATCGGAATCTATCCCAGTTGAAAAGCTTGGCAACAATTTTTCTCCTAAATCGCTCAATGGAATCTGGAAAAGCTCGAAGTCTGCACATTCCTAGGGCCGGCTGAATTTTTGTTTTAATTTTATTTCATGTATGATTCTATATTACATTCATGCTCTGTTCATATGCCTTTTTAGATTCATGTTCAAAGTACAATGTCTTTTTCCTTTATTTTCTTGATTTCAAGATGAAAAGCTATGGCAATGAAGAAAAAGATGCTTGCTCTCCCTTTAGGTTTCAACGATTTACCTGCAATTGTCCTCTTCAGGGTCAATTGCTTCTTCTTTTCTCCTTCATTCAAATTTTCAATTTTTATAGTTGCTTATGGAGCTGGTTTTCTTCAATTCCAGATCATCTCAAATAAATGACGATCTTCTGCAACAAATTCAAGCACGCAAAACTAAGGTCTTTTTAGAATCATATTCAATATTCATTATTCATTTAATTATTCATCTTTAAATATAACAACTGATTCCTTTTACATTGTGAAGATTAACTGATATAACTGATATAATAACGGATTCCTTTCATCATCTTTAAATATAATAACTGATTCCTTCTTTTGCACTGTGAAGAAAAGATATGTGAAGTCAAAAGGCTGAATCTGAAATTGACACCACCCAGTGGGTAATTGGGTATCGCTATTCGATGTTAATGAGATGTTAACATAGAAGAACATACACTTTAGTTTATCAGGTTCTTTGGTTTCATGACTTCTTCAATTAATACTTATCTTTTAAATTGCAATTGTTATGGTCTCTCTACAATTTAATCATTGTTAGATGAAACAAAGGTGAAGGATTCTGTTTTTATCACTAACTGTGTTCTTTTTTTTTATTCAGATATCATTTCATTCAATTTAAGACACTGAGTGTGTTCTATTTCCCATGATCAGTTTCATTAAGGTTAGCTGATTCAATATTATTTTATTTCGTTTGTATGGACTTAATTTCCCATTTTATCATGTTAGCCAACCCCAAAATCTTTTGGGAACAAGGCATATATATTGTCCCTAAGCTTTCTTTTTGTTTTGTTTTTTCGTTAGAAATAAACACTCGAGACAATCTTTTTTTTTATTAGAAAATGAAGTGATTATTGCACTGGACTTTGAGGAGCATTGGAACTTAAAAGTACTACATATTTTTTTCATAGAGTTGATTGTAAATTAGTCTTACGGACCAATATGATTCGTGCTTTGATTCAGTGTAGTACCATAGCTAAATTTTTAATTTTTTTTTCATGTACGTATGTCATTTGACTTCATTTGCTTCTTCCATCTTAAAGCAAATACACTTCCTCACCCACATGGTCTTTCTTCTCTTGTGGTTATTGTTTAATCCTCTTCAGAATCAGAAGATTAATACTCTTTTCTTTGTCATTCAATTTTTCTCTCTAATTGATCAATTAATTCGTCGTATTTCTATTCACTTTCAGAGTATCTAAATGGTAGTTAAAAATGGAGGCCCGTGCAGGTGGAGAATATTTCTCTTTAAGGTTAACCTTTTCTTTCATCTTCTTCATTGGTCAATGTCGAAAAACTTTTTATTCTTCTATTATTATTCAAATTTTTGTAATTGAATTCATTATTTTACTTTATTTTTTGTATAAATGATTAGTTGACCATTTCTAATGTATTTTCAAATCATTGAAATTTATTTTCCACTTCCCTTAGAAATATTGATCAGTGATGAATAACTAGATAGTATTTGTTTCTTAGAATTAATTGATTTTAGATGATTAATTTCTAACATATTTGGTGGCCATACATGCTGGAGTGTCACTGCAGGCACATTAGGTGTGCAGTTTCACAAATAAGACTTAAAGGTAGCAATTTCATCTGTTTTAAACACTGAGTTAGTAATAACGGTTAAATATTTCTCAATCGGATGCATGTGTATTGTTTCTGGGCAGTAAGAGATTATTGAAAAACGTCGATTTGGATGATACGATAGTTAAATAGACCTTTATCTCTTACAAAACTTCTAGAACTGCAAATCACATACTTTACTACCAAAAAATAGGGAAGGGCAATTTGTGGAATGAATGTAGCTTTCTTGGGAAATCAAGGGCCTCAGTTCGACCTATCATTGGGAGAAAGTCTTTGCACAGGAATAACTTGGGGTTATCTGCATCATGTAAATATCTAAAGTTTGAGCATAGAAGTGTCATCTTTGTGCACTTTAGGAATTTCGGGTAACAAATTAACTGGTAATCTTTTCCCCTGTTGATTCACTAACGGAGTCATATAAGTACATAACTTTTAATAATAAACTACTACTTTTATTGATATAAATCCAAAGCCTGAACTTGCAACTATTTTTAGAGGATATTAGAATACTTACATAAGGAAAGTAATGGACCCAAACTCAGTAAGAATTGAAAACCTAATAGGATTAGGAAAGCCAAGCCTTGAAACTGATAGGAACAAGAGACTATAATACTGTCAAACGTGTCATACATGAACCATTATTTTATATGTTAAAACAGAAGTTAGTGTGTGGTAAAAAAGCAACCTCCATAAAATGGACCTGGGATTTGATTGAAGCTTACTATTATCTTGCAGTTTTGTCAGCTTCTCAAATTGCTAGCTGTGCGTTTACATGGGGGACTGTAGCTGTCCTTCCATTTTATACATTCATTGTTGCTGCGCCGCGATCTGACTTGGTAAATCTCTTCATATGAAACTCTTATAAATCATTCTACATAATTGCACTACTTTATGGAAAAAGCATTTGCCAATTGCCACTCAAAGTCGTGAAGCATTTTCAACTGTGCGATTTCTTATCAAATGTACGACTGAAGTTTTTCCTTCCCCAATGTTCGGCTCTTCCACCTCACCCCACTTTCAGATCTCACTATACTCTCATTCTCCCCTTGATGGAAACCCTTACACCCCTTCCGTGTTTCATAAAAAATCTTCAGTTCTGAATTCGTTTTTCTTCGTTTGAGTTCAGTCAATTTGTTCTACCTCTTATCAGATCAATCAATTTTTACCTCTCCCTATGACTCCGGCCATAAGGGCACATTTCATAGAAGGTATTTTCTTTCCCTCCCTATTTCCTTATTTCAAATAAGCTTTTGTCGAACTTATGTAAAGTAATGTTGCACGGAATCTTAATCAATTTTGGATTCCCTCTCTTGAGAACAGTTTCTAAATTACAAGACAACAATGACAGCCATGGGTTTTTATTTTCCATTTCAATCTATCCATTGTTTGCCATATCTATTACTCCGAACTTCCTTTTAGATTTTCTCATCTTCACTGTGTTTTGTAGTTGATTGGAGAAAACAAAATCGCATTTGTGATAATTGAAAAAGATTATTGGTGAATATTGAATTTATTGGTTTTTCTTTGATCTACTTAGTGGTGCACTAATTTCTGAATTCATTTTTTAGTGAATTCATTTTTTATTGAATTCATTGTAGTACCTAAAATCAGCTACAATTAAAGGATATTATATTGGGGTACGGTGTACTAAACTTACTTTATGCACTACCAATCTCCTTTTCGCATTTCAGTATCAACACCAAAAAATCTTTTTGCTGCCTCTGCTTTGCATTCCAAAACATTGCATATTCTAGGCTTAGTTTATAAAGTTGCACCTACAAGAAATTGTGTTAACCATAAAAGTAGGACATTAGGAAATATAAGATGTGATAAGAAGTACTACGTACTAAATACTATGAGAATACAAGAAAAGGAATTAGCGTAAAGGTGTATAAGGTGTGTTTCATTTCAACAAGCATTAAGAGTATGTTTGGAACCCACGACCTGCAAGGGAAGAAAAAAAATGGCTCATACTCAACAAATCAATTTTAGATATTTGTTCAAACTCATTTATTCATACAATTTTATGATAAAAAGAAGAGAATATTACCCGAAATAGGACTAAAAAGGTTTGAAAATTCCAAAATATGACTGCTATGT